TCGCTGACGACATTAGCCTCCTCTCACACAGACACCAGGACCCACAGGAGAAGCTGTCCCGCCTCGCCGAAGAAGCTGTGATGATGGGCCTCAATATCAACACCAAGAAGATGGAGGTGATGCCAATAAACAACAAGAAACAAGAACCCATCACACTCCAAGACGAAGACCTGAACGAGGTGGAGAAGTTTGTTTACCTGGGTAGCGTCGTCAACAAAGATGGAGGAACAGACAAAGACATCAAGAGCCGGATCAACAAGGCCAGACATGCATTGAACACCCTCTGCCCCATTTGGAACTCTTCAGCCCTCTCCCTCCACAACAAGATCAGAATCGTCAACACCAGCGTCAAGTCTGTCCTACTGTATGGCTCCGAAACATGGAGAACTACAAAGTCAAACACCCACAAGCTGCAGACCTTTATCCACAGATGCCTTCGAAACATCATCAACATCAGATGGCCAGACGTCATTTCCAACGCTGACCTCTGGGACAAGACTGGTCAAAGCCCCATTGAAGTGGAGATCAGAAAAAGGAAATGGGGGTAGATTGGCCACACACTCAGGAAGTCCCCCTCAAACGTTGTAGAGTCTCCGCATAAATGAAAAGCTAACAGATTCAGCTTTTTCCTCAATGCGTGAAGTTTCTGTCACCCTGGAAGAGTCAGGAGGGTTTCCCTGTGAGTGATCATCAATTTAGGAGCTACTAGGAGTCTCAGCAATTTGGCAAGTACAGCAAGGCACCACCAGAAGCCCCTCTGATTTGTTTGCTTAAAATTTTTCCAGGCATTTCCCTATAAGGCTAAAAGGAGGGAATGCATAGAAGAAAAAATTATTCCAATTTGCAGAGAAGGCATCAACAAACATAGCATCTGGATCAGGCCTCCATGAGGCATAGACTGGACATTGCTTATTTCAACGAGATGCAAACAAGTCAATGCTTGGCTGACCAAATCGCTTTGTGATTGAGTAGTGTATATCTGACTGTAACTGCCACGCAGTACGATCATTAAAATGTCTCGATTCTCGATCTGCTTCAGTGTTTTCACATCCTGGCAGGTGTGAGGCGCTTATCCAGATGTTGCGTTCAACACAATAATCCCATATTTGCCTTGCGACTGAATTGCAGTCAGGGGACTTTGAGCCACCCATGTTGTTTATGTAGCAAACTGCGGTTGTATTATCACACTGAACCCGGATATGCAAATTTGCACATTCCCTCAATAAAGCCTTTATTGTTAAGAGTACAGCCAGTAATTCTAGGTAGTTAATGTGATGGGATGCTTCCTGTTGGTTCCATCTCCCCCCTGTTCTCTGTTCTCCCCTCATGCCTCCCCAGCCATGGGCTGAGGCATCAGTTTGAATGTGAAGTTTGGGTT